TACGTACACCCCTAGGGCCTGTAGTGATACACCCCATACGTACACCCCTAGGGCTTGTAGTGATACACCCCACACGTACACCCCTAGGGCCTGTAGTGATACACCCCATACGTACACCCCTAGGGCCTGTAGTGATACACCCCATACGTACACCCCTAGGGCCTGTAGTGATACACCCCATACGTACACCCCTAGGGCTTGTAGTGATACACCCCATACGTACACCCCTAGGGCTTGTAGTGATACACCCCACACGTACACCCCTAGGGCCTGTAGTGATACACCCCATACGTACACCCCTAGGGCCTGTAGTGATACACCCCATACGTACACCCCTAGGGCCTGTAGTGATACACCCCACACGTACACCCCTAGGGCCTGTAGTGATACACCCCATACAACACCCCTAGGGCCTGTAGTGATACACCCCATACGTACTGACCCCTAGGGCCTGTAGTGATACACCCCATACGTACACCCCTAGGGCCTGTAGTGATACACCCCACACGTACACCCCTAGGGCCTGTAGTGATACACCCCACACGTACACCCCTAGGGCTTGTAGTGATACACCCCACACGTACACCCCTAGGGCCTGTAGTGATACACCCCATACGTACACCCCTAGGGCTTGTAGTGATACACCCCATACGTACACCCCTAGGGCCTGTAGTGATACACCCCACACGTACACCCCTAGGGCCTGTAGTGATACACCCCACACGTACACCCCTAGGGCCTGTAGTGATACACCCCACACGTACTGACCCCTAGGGCCTGTAGTGATACACCCCATACGTACACCCCTAGGGCCTGTAGTGATACACCCCACACGTACACCCCTAGGGCCTGTAGTGATACACCCCACACGTACACCCCTAGGGCCTGTAGTGATACACCCCATACAAGTAACACTCACTGACTCACTGGATGGAGGTGAACACTGCAGCTCCAATTAATAAAAGGCTTTGTCACGTGCTACCAAATGTCACAAGGTCCTGTTACACCAACATATTCAGTAAGAGTGGGTGGTCGTGCACTTAGATACAGTTAAATATTGGTGATTACATTGGTTCAGTATTAACACCCGTAACAACCTCTGGCTATCTTCACAACACCCCACATAACAACTACAGCACTCTGTTTAACTAGGTTCCCAGTATTTAACAACCTTCATATGTTGTCATGGTAACTGGTCTACCCGTCATATTACTGGTAGACCAGTTTAACTGGTCTCGGTAACTGATAACCGCATAGCCCTGGCTTTGCTAGGTTGTTACAAGGTTTCTGTACCAGGTCATTACTAGGTTACTACCACGTTACTAGTGGTAAGTGAGATAAGGGGTCGGAGATAACGTGTCAAGTTTTACATGCACCATGGTCTGTGTCATATTACCATGGCTATGTGCGTGACAGTGTTTAACAGGGCTATGTTTAGTATTAAACAGCATTAATTCGCACTTCTGGTATGTTGAGTTATGTGGTCAAAATGTTGAGATATTATCTGTTGGGAAATTTGGCGTGAAGCCAGTTTTCTAGTTATTGCTAATAATAGCAATTACAGTTACAGTGACGTACGAGGTAATTAGAAGATATATTTTAAGAAATTGAGAATTAATTCTTGCATACAGCCAACAGCTTTATACTTTTCTACAATTAAAGGAACACTGTCTGCAATTGTATTGGGAAGTGAGAAGAGGTGTTTTATAATTTCATACTAGGTCTGGATATAACTGGTGAGAGGTGAACTATATTTGATTTGACACGTGACAGTGATTCTAGGTTTATATTGGTCACGTGTCACCTCCCTTCAGTACCTACATTTGGGAAATCAACCATATTTTTCTGACACGTGACTGCGATTAACCAATCAGCTTCCAGCATTTACCGATCAAAACCTAGAATCGCTACACGTGTCAAATCAAATATGGTCACTTCCCCACTAGTATCCAGATTGATTCTGTGAAAGAATGACACACAATTCGTGGGATCATTAAGCGGTTGCAAATTATATAACCATGTCCCACAGAAACATTGAACAGAGATATTTAGGAGGCATGGTAAGAGAATGTCGCCTGGGTTACTGTCATCTGGTTACTGTCACCTGGTTACTGTCACCTGGTTACTGTCACTTCATCACTTGGTTAGCAGTGATACTGTGACTATAACATTGGCGCTTGATAAGTACTTTGCAAGCTCGGAGATTTATAGTTATCTCCTATAGTAACCCAGTGTGATATAATGTAGTTATTTAACATTAGCAACATTTTAGTAAATATCAACCATGTAGACAATATGTTAGGTTTTTTAAAGTGAGTTTTTTTAAAGGTAAGTTTTTTTATAGAATTTAACTTTAAGAACTCACGAATAACGGAACCTCCCGTAATTGCTTGTTATATTTCCTGTCCAGCATTTCCCTCTTTAGGCACAGAATTTCATTATTTAAACTATGTAAACACAACAAAATTGTGAGATTTATTAAGTGAATATGTAATGCGATTGAATATGTAATAATATAATTGGGTCATAGCGAGTCCAAACCCTGGCTAAATAGCATAAGTCTGTCGCATTTATACGAATGAAGGGGACGATGTTCCTTTATTTAGAAAAGTTAAGCTGGTGGCTGAAGCTTTGATCTTTTTAAGTCAAGAAGTAAGAACCATAAAATTGTGAAATAAAAGTTGCCAGTCTTAGTTCTTTTGAAATTTTATCGGTACTATAACGTAAGGCGCATTGCGAAAATAGTGTCGCCAACGCGGTTAAATTATTGTCATTAAACATCACGCGCGCGGCTGGACGCCGGACGTACGGCCGGCGTATGGGCGATACAGTTCGCATTGCATTGTTCATCTTTGTCACATGGTTCCCCAGGACCCCATTTGTTTACAATAAGTTCACTATGACAAGCTTGAAACGGAAGCTACTGTCTAGTTTTCTCTCAACCACTTTATGTAGGAGCATATCTTTATGTAGGAGCATATCCATGCTATAACAATTATAGTATACATATACAATAACACTGCTCCCAATGCAAGACTTTATATACACAAGTTACACTTCACAAGTTCTAATCGTTTCCTGCTTGTTTGTATACGTTTTACTTTACAGTTGAAGTCCGTTAGTACCATGTCAGACATCAAGTTACACACTGACAATGACAAACAAACTGACACACAAACAGACAACCTAATCAATCCTAAAACTGGTTCATTTCTCGACGAGAACGGAAATATTTTGTTTGACCATCAGCCAATCTCATCCGTAATAAAACTCGGTCGAAGTTTCCTAACCACTCTAAAGTTGGACACTGAAAACAAAGCCCCCGGAAATAGGTTTATAGAATCGATTGTTGGTCAGATTAACGGTAGATTTGATATGAAGAGCAAACTGCCCTTATCTCCTAACTATTACAAGCTCATTTGGACTAATATCGCTGAGACTATTGTTCGATCGTCTCCATTTTATCCGGCTGAATACGATGAAGCAAAGTGGGTTCAGAACTGGGAAAGAATGAGAAAATACGGATCCTGTGGTATAGAATATTTTGATCACTTGTTGAAATTGGGTATATCGCATTGCATCGGTAAAAACATATTAGTTTTTGATGGAAGAAAAGGAGAAAGTGAGGAGAGATGTGTTTTTGTGATCAGTCCTTGTGATTTGGGAGGAAAAGCTGATTCCACACCAGTGGTGCTCAGTTTTGACGGAATATCTTACCGAGGACTAATTCCTCTGACTAAAACAGATTCCTCCAAAATTAGCTTTATAGTCGAACAATTGATGTTAGGTGTGATTGATATCGTCAATATCAGACATATGATCCGTGAGAAGTTTGAGACTTTCCAGGTCCCAAATTTATTGGAGTCACTCAGTAAATCTAGACATAGTTTATCCCGGCGATCTTTAAAACGGCTGTCTCCTAAGATGAAACCTGCTTCATTTACCGGGAAAAGCATTGCTGACGGAATATTCAACTTACCAAGTAAACTCAGTTCACTTCGAAGAAGAAAAATTAAGAACAGTGAGCACAGCGATGAAGAAAATTACGAAAACCACAACAATCTCTCAGTGAGCAAAGTCAGCAACTTTGAGTCCAGAGGAAGGTTTGTGCACCCTCTGATGAGAGAAGGAATTCAGCTGGCTAAAGAATACTTCATAAACCTGGAACCAGGCACCCCTAACGGGGGGTGTGGGAACTGCTCTATAGAGTCAGTCATGGATCAAATTAACTCGAGGGGGTGCTTCTCTGAGAAACTCCATCTCACCGCACAATTCTACCGGAATATGTGGATGAAAGAGACTGAGAGAATAACTCGAAACTCGGCCTACTTCTTGGAGGACGACTTCACAGAGGAGCAATGGAAAGAAGCTTGGAATAAACTCCAACAGGACGGTGCCTACGAAATAGACTACTTTGGGGACCTCATGATAGTTGGGATCATGCACTGTGTCCGGAAGAACGCCCTGGTTTTCAACGTGTCCAGCTCCAGAGCACATGGTCCGTTGACTGTAATCAGGGGTGACCACTTTGGGGCAGTGGTGCGGGACGATGAACCACCCCTAGTCCTAGCGTATAGTGGCACTCACTATGAGAGTTTGGTCCCGGTTCATGGATGGATGTGGAGAAGACGGCGTATATCGTGGAACATTGGAGTAACTTTGATGGTTCTGATATGAGGTCACATCTTATGACCCTTGATTGGTTTAAATCGGATGTGGACTTGTCCGACTGCTTGAGGACACCGACTGAACGACAAAAAGACGAAAAATGAACAGCTGGGTATCAGTGAAAAATTGAGGCGCTTGTTTTAATGAGAATGGTGCGTAAGCTATTAAAATTTGTCATCAAACAGCAGGCCAAATAAATTTTTGAGGCTAAGCGTTTTAATCCGACCATACTGTACAAAATTAAATCCGTCGTTTAATCTAAAGATTAGGATAATCAAGGAAAACCCAATTTAATCCCAACTGTCCCATCATTAAACGGTTACCTCCCCCAGTGACGTGTCAGACTCGAGCACTATCGGAGGATATAGTGAGCTATGTGCTGAGTGCCATGAGTTTCTCCCAACACGCCACAGTCCACCTGTTCGGGTGCAGGGTGCTACTCAACTTGATCACCAGTCACGCTTCTGAAGGTGAACTATTTCACTTTTATTTAACTTTTTAATTGTATCTAACTTAGCGATCTAACTTTAATTCTGTCTGTTAGATGATATAGTTCTTGTAGAAAAAAAGTTTAGCTTTTCTAAAGCAGAGAAAAAAGCTAAAATATTTGACTCTCACTGATACAAACCCTCTCAAGATAACATCTAAACATTAAAAAACTATTTTATAATCATTAATTATGTTTTTCAGTTTTGCCTCGGATCCAATTTCACCTGTTTTTGAGATTGTCTAAAAACGAGATGTCTTGCTCAGGTCTGGAGCCATACGATAATGAGTTGGGAGATATCAGGACAATTATACTGGACAAAGACGGAGCAAATGTGTTAAGAAGAGTGGTCAGATCACACCGGGACGACAAACATATCCAACACACTGTGTGTCTTATCCTCAGCCTACTGCTAGAGTTTACGTACCGAGGTTTAGACTTGTTGTTATACGCTTTCTTCTTATTGTTCTAGCCTGCCATGTACCAACTGAAGCCTCATGAACCCATCTGCTTACAGGGATAATAAAGAAGTAATTAATTAATTAATTGATTACTCCCAGGCTGGCGTGAGTCGGAGGAGCACAGACTACACTGTATCACAGAGTTAGAACAAGCTCAAGATCTTCTGTCACAGGCTGGTGATGGACTTAACACCACCTACGACAAGGTTAGGAGATTACTGTTGCGCGCCCAAAATAGAATTAATAAGTTAAAGTAATTTCTATACTTGTTCTTTTCTCTGATATCTGGTGTGTACGAATTCTTGCGGAACATTATTGATTATTTGCTTTTAAGGTTGTGGGCTCTGTTTGATGGTTTCCAGTTAATTTTTACAGAATTTGTCATTCGTTTGAATTTTATCCGTGCTTATTACTGTGCTCTGTAAACAATGAAGGCGAACTGATCAGAGAACAATTTCCCAAGATCTAATGTATTAATTCGTGCTGTAAATTTTATCGTTAGATAGTGCTTCACCAGGTGGAAGCCGAACTAGCGATGAGGATAGAAGAACAAGACACGACGATAAGACAGAAAAACAAGGTCATAGAAAACAGAGACAGTACAATAGAACAGCTACACAGGCGACTAGAGTTTGCCATGCCCACAACTCAGACCGTGGATAACACCAAGCTGGAAGAGGAAAATTTGAGACTGACGGAGACTTTGGAGAGGGAAAGAGATTTGTGGCACTGCAAACAGTCGGAGCTGGAAGCTAGTCTGGAATTCAGGTATTGTTTTTGTCATGATCATGATTCATGACCAATGCTTTTCTTTCTATTGACTACTTTTGTAATTTGTATGACCACTGACCGCTGACCACGAAAGAAGAAGATCGCGAGTTAGTTATTTTTTAAACCACCATTTTCCTGAATCCCTGATTTAAATTGAGATTTCTTATCAGCCAGGAATTGGTGAAGGACATGACGACTGCGATTAGGCAGATTAAGTATGATCTAGAAAATAGCTCGGAAAATTTAGAGAACAAACGAGTTGAATACAACTCCTGGAACAGTATTAAGGATGAACTGGATCGGGTAAGAGTTGATAAGCACTTCACATCGCTCTGATTCCGTTTTTCATATGAATTTTTGTTTCTATTTAGAATTTGCACCATCCGCTTCGTTTGATTCTCACTTTCACTTTCACTTTCACTTTCACTTTCACTTTCACTTTCACTTTCACTTTCACTTTCACTTTCACTTTCTTAGATAACGAGAGCGGTACAGCAGTTAGGGAAGACAGCTGAAGAGGAGCTGATCTATCACTACGATATGGTGGATGTGGGGAGAGAGGAGGATCAGCAGCTTCAAAAGTCTATGGAGTCTGTCTCTACTACGGTTAGTCTGTCTCAGTGTCTCTACTACAGTTAGTATCACGCACCAGCTCTTTTCAATGTCAAATTAAATGCAAATGAACCGATTTTTGTAAAATCAACCAACACATCTCCACGCACCTACACAATTATTTTATTCCTAAAATATAATATATTCAATATTCATGATGATTGTTATTGTCAGATTGAAAAGGACGCAGCGCTGAGACGGTTCGAACGAACACACTCCCAGACCTCCCTCGACATCTCAATGGACAGCGAACAAAAAGCCACGAAGACACTTGACAAGTTGCAGATGGTGAGAAGAGCAATACACGGCGTGGAGCAGACACTTGAGTCTGAGGAAGAGAGGCTGGAGAAGCTGAGACAGAAACGATTCATTAATCCGCTCCACGATATCACTGAGGTTAGTTTCCGTCCGTCCGTGTAGTTCTTAACGAGATCAATGATTTTATTTACATTCATTACTTTCAAAAATCATAAAATCAATAACTACTAAGATCAGCGTCTGTTTGTTAATGATTCGTAGATTTAACCCACATTTTCGTCGCACGAACATTTTTTGTATGAGAATATAATGGGTGAATGAAAGATTAGAAAAACTCACAAAAAACGTAATGATATCACTAAAACATGACAATTAATTATGATTACTAATGGATGATAATTAATTATGATGATTAATGGATGATAATTAATTATGATGATTTATGGATAATAATTAATTATGATAATTAATCGATGATAATTAATTATGATAATTAATTCTCCCGACAACAACACCAGGACACGGAGGTGTCTGCTAATGAGAATGAGAAAGAGAAGGAGGATAAAGTTGCGAGTGGCCCAATAGTTGTTCACGCTCATGTGAGAGATATTGTTGTAGTGTTTGCAGCAGTTTAACTAGAATGTGTGATAAATGTGTGATGAATAGAGTCGGGGAAAGTTTCAGTGAATTTTTTTTACGGACTAGAGAGAAAAAAGCACTGGGGTTTAAACTGCATTTTAAGAAAGTTAAAAGCGTTCTGTTTCCCCTCGGAAATATATTTGGTGATATATTTTGTTCAGGAAGTTTAAATAGATAAACGCCAATTTAAATACAGAGAAAGCTTTTAAGGCCAGAGGGGGGGGTAAATGGCACTTTTGTAGTTTTTGCATATTTGATAATAGCTACTGGAGACGAACAAAAAGAAAAAAACCGGATCAAAATCTGACCTTGCGCTTCTGAGATATCGCGCGCTCAATTTTGAGGTTTACCTGTAATTACATGTTAAACTGGAACTTTAAACGGCTGTAACTTTTTTGACCTTTCGATTCCTTAGTTGAGAAAACCGGCCCTTCCCTGATCTTGAGGTTTGGTACAGTGGTTCCTTGGACAATTATCCTCACATCTGGTGCAGCGATTTTTTTTATTTGACTCTGTTCTCAAATTATGAGGTTAACCAGGTCAAAAATTCGAAAAATTTAATTGGTTAACCTCATAATTCGAGAACTGAGTCAAATAAAAAAAATCGCTGCACCAGATATCTAGATAGTTGTCCAAGGAACCACTGTACCAAATCTCAATATCAGGGGGTGGCTGGTTTTCTAAACTAAGGAATTGAAAACCACAAAAGTGTGTTTTGAGATAAATGTATTTTAGTGTTTTCAAAATTTTTAATATTCACTGGAATGTATCACAGTTCGTTAGTTAGGACTTTTTATACACTTAATAACGTTTGCTTGATCAGACCTGGCCGTCCCCTAAATGATTTTAGCCACTTTCAGTAGTTAATGTCCTTGTATTGTAAAAAATGAGGTTAACCAAGACTTCCTGTAAACACTAACTGTTTAAAATTTGGTTGTTAACCTCACTTTAGACCATATAACACTGGGATTGGTTTATCAATATGTTATTATATATGTAGTAAAACATTTGCACAGTATAACGATTAAGTTTTTGAGGTTAACATGTAATTGACTGGTCAGATATTCAAAATATTCAAAAAATGAGAGGTTAACCTCATTTTTTAGCCATTTACGGGTAAAATCTTCTACTAAAATATGGTCAGTTCAAATCACCTTTGTCACGTGATTATAGTTGTAGGCATTGTGATATCAATAGATACCTCACTTCGATATTGTGGTACATTACATAAGTAAGAATCGTATGTATATTCCCTACGGTACCAAAATGTGATGGTTAACCTCATTTTTTTCATTTTCCCAAGATAAAAGAAAGTCAATCAACACGTCATCTATTTAGAAATGTGTATACCGTAAACTTACGATGAAAATAATAACTCTATCATTTGATCTATTTTCGCTATATCTAAAAGAAGAGGTTAACCTCATTTAATCACGTTTGGATATTGCTTTTTCTGATAATTATGAACCTAAAATGTAGAGTTTACATTTGCTGACCGAAATAACAAAAAATTATGGCGTGTAATAAAATATTAACCTCAATTTTATTAACTTCAATGTTGTATAGTCAATTTTGTGAAAATCGGTTAACCTCAATTATAAAATAAAGTTAATCAGCTACAAATATGTGAATAGCAGCAATGTTTTTGTCATCAAAAATTAAATCGATTTAGAAAATAATATTTTGGTAGAATTTTTTGACCCCTTACCCCCCCCTCTGGCCTTAAAAGGTTGTTGACGTGCAATTTACGATTGATATTATTTATCAATCGAAATTAAATATTTAGGAGTTTGCTAGATCTAGCGACCATCTCTAGTGATTTCTTGAGGATATCAAAATTGGTCGTGTATTAGTAATTAGTATTCTATTAGGATATATCTACAAAGTTATCTGTCCACAGCACCACTCACCGTCTCACCAGGTACCTTAAAATCTGTGACCTGTCCATACTCCATAAGACACTTACATACACCTGCCCACTAACAATAGCGTCCTCCCTTAACTTTATAATTTAATTCTTTATATAATTAATAACAAAGACCATCCCCTCCAGAGCTCGACACCACAGAGGACGTCAGATGTAGATGTACACGACATACCACGCGGTCTACTGAAGCACATGTGCAGGATGCTTGACGAGCCACCTTCCTGTGGGTGGAGAAGGATTGTACCTCTGCTCGGCATGTCACATCGACTTAAAGACATTGAATCGTAAGTGCTGTGATTTGTTTTCAAGAAACGGGCGCGGACTTCATTTTGATGTTGATTTGAGCGAATTTCGAGAGAGACTTGACTTAAAACCTTTCTGGTATTTCTGTTCCATCCACACCTGCTTTGTAATGAGTTTTGATTTAACATTTTTTATAAACAGGTCACTGGACAGTCCAACAGCTGAACTAATTAGAATTTGGACGAACGAAAACAGATTGGTTACTTTTCCTGATCTTATGGAAGTTCTTAGGTAAATACCTTTATTCAATATCCGAATATTTGTTCATGAAATATTGTTTAAACACAGAATAGTCCTTCCACTCTATCGGGTTAAGAATAAAAATGTGTGTTTATTGTAACAATAATAAGAATACGTCATAGCCAAATTAAGAATATACTCAATACTACCCCCACTACCTCCCCCTGCCCACAACCCCCTCCCCCACCTAAATACAACCCCCACCTCAATACTAGCTCTTCCCACCTACAGGTTAGCAGAACAAATGGATACCGTAGAATTCATTAAGCGGCACCTGCAGTTGAAGAAACGGCTTTCAAAACAATCGTTCCTCTACTTCCCCATCGAGAAACAATCTTCTCCTCCCGCTTCTTAAATTTGTAATTTGACTGCTCGGTCATTTAGTTGAATGGTTAGTTGATTTGTTAATTGATATGGAGAGTTGTATCTCGCGCGATTACAACGAAGAGCACGTTGGTTTGAGCGGAGAGTGTTTGAGGTGTGAAATACAGAAATGTAATTTGGTTTCCTTGTAAATATAAGAGAGTCAATATTAAATAAAGTAATCAGCAGAGTGTTGCTGATGCTAGATGTTGAACTTGTGGGAGATAATTATAATGGGAAAGGTACTACTCCCAGAAACTGATGGTACACAACAAATTTAAAGTTATTGTTTGTTTTAATTTTAAAATTAAGTTATAATCATTATATTTTCATCTTGATCAGTCTACTTTTCACCAATATGTAACTATAACTACTGGACCAATCTTCTACTCCTAAAAACAAATTTTCCCGCTAATTCTAAAAACAACAAAAACTTGAATCTTTTGTCAATCCTTTATTGAGCTGATAACTGCAAACATGAAAAAAGGGGAAAAACATCAAAAAATCATGAAAAGAAAAAATTATTTACAAAAAACATTTAAAAATGATGTTTTTGAAGATTGTTCCAAAATTTCGCCAAATATAATTACATGTTTGTTATAACAGTATGAGTTAAGTTTCTTCCGTATTAACTATTAACCCCACTTTGATTTTAAACCTATTTTTACTCTGTATTTGTGTTTTTAATAACGATTAAATATTAATAACTTTTTTTGGTGATTGAAGCAAAAAATCAGGTATCTTCGCATTTGAATTTATTTTGAAACTCAACAATAACTAATACACCAACGAGAATCAAACATCTTGTCATACATTTACCGTCAGTCAATTATTATACTTTAAAATCCATGGCAGTAATTTTTTGATGACCTAAGTCCTAACTGTAGATTGTAGATACACTATTTTTATCATCTAAATATCTTTGTTTGTTTTAACTTTTAATTTTTGTTATCAGTTAAATAAGTAATCACGGATATATTATACGCTGTGTGATATTGTAAGATGCAATGAGCTGTATGGTTAATCATTCCACTTTTGGGTTGCTTTTATTAAGCTCCTCAAGATTAATCAAGAATTTCCTTTAGTTTGTTTTTATACTATACTCGTAAAACTTGTAAAACCCACCTAAATTCCACGCATAGCATGTTGTATTCTTTACAATTGTACAAAATACAAAAATTTCCAAAACCACGGAGAATTGTCACTTAGAATAATATTACGGTTTTCTAGCGTTTAATTTTACTCATATTGGATTTTAGATGATTGGAAAATTTAACAACGAATGATACAAAAATGTGACCGTGAAAAGAAATTGGTATTCGTTGTGAACAAATTGCATAAAATCAAAAACAGTGATGAGTGATAGATCTATATCAAGATTTAGAAAACGGTAAAGCTTAATCCAATAAATTTGATCAAATCAACTGTGCGCTTTATGTGTCCGACAACATTCACATCGACCAAAGTGAAAAACCATTAATTCATCTCCAATTTCTTGCACCTTCAACTTCAAGTTGATCTGAATCTATTTTAAACTTATTGAACCCTTGTAGCAAATATAACAAACATAATTCAAAGATATAAGTGTACATGAACTCATCGCAATCTTTGTATCCAGCACCGTGGAAAGAGGAAAGAAGAGAGTAATAATAAAAGCATCACAAATATTGTAATCACAATTTACTACACAGTAGCAAAAACAATCAAAATCTTTCTCATGTCGAAATACAGCGTCCAAAAACTTGGGTAGATGGATGCTACATCACAGCAGTTGTAGATAAGTTAATACGTAGTCATCGAGACTTCAAGAAAACAGAAGACAAACGTTTTTGGGACGCTACCACAGTCAATCAAAACACCACCCACCCAAGGCACGTGGAGGCCAATATGTGTACCATTTGGGGCTTGAACAGATAAAAATACTTGATTTTGTAAGAATTTGATTACAGTTATGTATACAGTTACACAACCATGTCCACTACGTATTTATCTGTTATTTTTTACATAATACAACGAAAGTTTTATCGTACGTTCGATTTTATCCTAAATTTCAAGGTTCCATATGTAATTAACTGAACATTAATGCTCGTGCTCATGCCCCAGTGTAACAAAAATTTTGGAAGTAAATAGGGGTTGTTACACTTTTTTTGTTATAACTGATCAAGAACCCATCGAATATAAATCAAAATGCTGTTAAACTTAAAATTGTCACGCACTGGAGTAACCACTCCCAGTGGCTGACCCGGCATAACTCATCCCTGATAAGGCTCTATCTAATGGATGTGTAGTTCCTGTCAACCTCTCCGACGGTAACACTGTGAGGTCCACCTCTCTTGGAACTGTCCGACCAGAGCTGAGCCTTATTGATTTTATCCGGGAGTATCTTCTGTAGGTCGGCTTGTTGATCACTGTCTTTGCTGCGGGGGGCGTTTGTTAAGTCCCTTTCTAAAGCTGGATCACATGGTAATTAATAAAAAAAACAGCACGTTCTTATACCAAGAAATACTAATTACTAGACAATTACAAATTACAATGATTAATGTCCGACTAGATTTCAAACGAAGAGTAATAAGTGGGTAAGGGTAATATAACGTTGGTAACTGGTAAGGTTTTACCCCGAGGTCTGGCAGCCTTGACCCCACTTCGTGGCAATATCTGCCCTGTGGACGCTTTATGAATTACTCTGTTTGCTCGTATTGTTACTTTCTTCTTTACTTTTGCTCTGTCTAGTGCATGTTTAGCATCGGTCTCGGTCTGCAGAAATAGTTTTAATAAAATCCGGAAGATGCCTGTAAAATGCAGTGTATGAATCATTGATGGTTCCAGTTGACCTTTGTGATTTAATGGAATAGAAAATCCGATATGATTGTGTAAACACAACAAATTACATACCTCATAATAAAGACTCTCAGGAATTTCCCAGGATTGTAGTCTCATCACATCCCTGGGTATGGGTTCATACGACCCCGTACCGAGGTGACCTGCTCGACCAGATATCATCACACTATTCACTGTTTGTGCAATCAGGTTCTGAACTACTGTTGTTTGTGGGTCCCTCTGATGGTGGTGGTCACTAATAAATCACTAATAAGTCACTAATTAAATATGTTTTGTTAAAATTGATTCCAAATTTGGATGAAAATTTAGTCTAGTATTTGACGAACGCGAAGATTTTTTTTTAATTCTTGAAAATCTTCATTAATTAACTTCAATCAGTTGTATCATCATGCGAATAATAAAGCACGAAATATCGTGTATTATAAGTAAATTATAATGTAAATTACCACTCGAAGTACGATCATGTACCGCAGTTTCCAGGTGACGTAGCACAAAGCAATAGCAGCTAAAACGAAACAACACAAAACTATGACCATCACGTGATAACCCCGCATCATGGTCTCTTCTGACAAAACCGGCAGTGCCATTAAGTCGCTGTCTTCTTTTCCAACTCCGCCGGTTTGATTCAAACTTCTGGAGTCTTTCATCTTGTCAGGAACATGAGAAACATACTGTTAGTGGAACTATTTTATCGGACGTTATTTTATTTGACCTTCGTCCTAGAATCTAGAATATTAGTTAACAAGACGTATCCGTTTTACAAAATGACTTGAAGTTGAACAGTGTTCATGGTCTGAACGTAACAATATGGCACTACACAAAGACAAGTCTGAGTACATGTGTCAACTGTCACAGACACAATAGAAACAGCTGCCTGGGTTTTCAGTGTCTTTCAGACCAGATCTCCAGTCATAATGCTCACGCTTTACAAGTCGATGGTTCGTAGTCTACTGGAATACTGTTGCCCGCTATGGCACACCTCCAAGATATGTGACATCCAGGAGCTTGAAAGCGTACAGAAAGCTTTCACCGCAAGGATTACTGGAATGCGTGATCTCCATTAATGGGACCTTATTCAACGGCTATCTCTGATGTCTTTACAGCGTCGCAAGGAGCGGTTTACTTTACTTCATATGTGGAAGATTCTCCATCACCATACCAGCAACGATTTTAACGTGCAGTTTGTCTCAAGGCCACGTTTTGGAAACCTAGCAGTTATTCCATCTGCATGCAGACACAGCTCAGCAGCAAATCAGTCACTATGATAATCCATTTGCAGAAAATTGTGGAATGCAATGCCTTACCATCTGAATTGCATCGGCGACCGGGAGCATTTAAAATCGCAGCTCACCCAGTTGATGTTATCTCTTCCGGATACACCGCCCATCATATAAGATGTATATTAAAATTACAAATCAGCTGCTAGGAAATGTCGCCGTACTATCATAGTCATTAGCCGAATAACACTGTACGGAAATGAAACATTAGTAGTAGTACCACTAGTAATAGTATACTACGTACTATAATAGTACTAGTAGTATTCGACAGGGTTGTGAAATACGTGTTTTACGTTTTTTTGTATTGGAGCGTTTTTACGGTTTTTTAACAGGTTTTTGCGTATTTATTTTAAAAACGTTGTGATTTATACGGAAATTTACAATGTTTTGACGGTCACCGACTACAAGTAAACGAACCAGCGAAGTACGAACACCATGAGGCCTGGGCCACAATCACATAAGCAAATTGCAGTCTTCAGTGACGAGAGGATAAGCGACCTTACCCTTCTCAGTCACGAAAAGGAGCTTGTCAAAGCGATAGAGATTGCTGTCATTATTGACAAGTTTGCTGAGAGTAACCGCAGAGTCGTGTTGAATTGAACAGTCTCAGTGTCAATTATGTTTTAATTGTTATTAAAATATTTTTACCTTTATTTTCACATTATGTTTTATTGAACTCTTCAAGTTAATTCAGACACTTTCTGGTAAGGTTATTAGCTTCTAAAAACGCAAAATTTTCCGGGGGGCTTCGCCCCCTAGACCCCCCTCAGAAAGGGGGCTGCGCCCCCAAACCCCTGCTGCAGCGCCTTCGCACCAAGTTGCACCCCCCCCCCCCCAAGAATAATCGGATGGAGCCATGGCTGGTCAACACAACGGGCAAGTTTGATTGGTCATACCGCTACATTTTAAATTTTCACGTGAGTCTGCTTGATTAGATTATATGCGAACGTTTTTTCTCGTTTTTTTCTCGTTTTTTGAAAAAAATAGAAAAAAGCACGTTTTGAACGTTTTTTGAGTTTACCATTTACGTTTTTTCACAACCCTGGTATTCGAGGCAACACTTTTTGATAGATTACGACATAACATAACGGCTGTTACTACTGCTTCTACAGTTACCTGGAAACAATATAGATTCGGTGGAAATGGAATGACAGGTACCTGTTGAGCGCGGCCCAGTATCTACTACAGCTGCTATAACTGATGTCATGATTAGCCTAATCAGACACCACGGTAATCAGCCTGAGACAGTATGCCAGTACCAATGACCAACTAAGTGCTTTACTGTACATTTTTAGTAATTTAACATATGAATAATATGTGCAAGGAACCCGTAGTAGGGTATGATCTATTGTAGGGGTGTGGAAATGGGGGGTCCCCTCTTCCTACACCCCTAGCTGCTCTTTTGGTATGATTAATGATTATGTATAGTGTAAACTGTAAAATTGCACAATCAAGATTCAAGAACGAAGGCCTGAAACAAAACACTACCACCAATATACCAAAAAAATACCCAGCGTACTAGATCACTCTACAGTCGATCTTCGAGATTGTTCTAAAAGGGACCCCTACAGTTGAAACCAACTTCAATCGATGTATTTTCGGACGCTGATTCCGAATCACCCCCCATGACATAGGGTTAAAATGCTCCCCTGACGAGATATAGGCGAAAAACTGTCTCGATCACGTGATATGACCGTATAAGGAAGTTAGTCTAATTTCTCGTTAGGGTTAGGGTTTCAGCATATGCCTTTGTTAAGGATTGGGGTAGGGTTAGGGTTGCGATCAGATTTAAGAGGGTTTCGAATAGTCGTTCAGGACCAGCTAGAGAACGGGTTGAAAAAGTCACGTGACAGTCGAGTGTAGAGTGATTAATTATCATCCAAAAAATGCCACAGCAGTAGCATTAGCAAAGAAATAGGCATGCTTCGATATTATATATATGAGATCATATTATGCACAAAACAACTATTTATAAGTTTATACTATCCACTACTACTACTTAATAAGTAACTTAGCAGTAACATG